GGCGGCGGCGGGCGCGGGCCCGGGCGGCGCCGCCATGGACGCGGCGATTTGGATCTACCAGTTCCGCCTCATCGTGCTGGGCGACTCCACGGTGGGCAAGTCCTGCCTCCTGCACCGCTTCACCGAGGGCCGCTTCCCGGGGCCGCTGCACTCCGACCCCACCGTGGGCGTGGACTTCTTCTCGCGCCTCGTCGAGATCGAGCCCGGCAAGCGCGTCAAGCTGCAGCTCTGGGACACGGCGGGCCAGGAGCGCTTCAGGTACCGGCGCCCGCGCGGCGCAGCCGGGCCAGCCGCCTCCGTGCGCGGCCTCCGCGCGGCCGCGCTTCCCCGCGCTAACAAGTGGCCCCGTCCCGCCGCTCCCGCCGCTCCCTGCCTTGCAGCGCTGCCCGCTCCATTTCCTACCGTGTCATCCCCTCCGGAGCGAGCGTCTCCCGCAGCGCTCCGCACCCCGGGCGGCCTGGGCCACCTCCCGCCGCCTCCCATCCGCTCTCCCCGCTCRTGCTCACCGGGAGCCTTGGCTGCGGCTCCCCTTTCCCCAACACCCAGCCAGGCRCCAAACCCGCTCCCTGCTCCCCTCCTCTCCTATCCGTAGGAGCTGATACTGCCAGTCAGTCGGGCAGCTCCATCCTTACAAAGTCACTCACTCTTGGGACTCCGTTTTACCGCTTGGCACCCCTGGCAATTTGTGCATGGATTTATCGTGGGCTCAGGATTCAGCAGTGCCCATAACCCAGCTGCAAACGCTGGGAGGAGGCCAACGCGTCAGGCCCGTCTATCTGTTGCGATACGTGGTACTTAAATTACAAGCTCGGTGCTTAAATTGCAAGCTTAACAACAAAACAACAACAAAAAATAACTTTCCTGGGCTTGCCTGAGTCATGAGCATATTCTATATATTTTTGCAGACAGGCCCCAGCAAGTTGAGCAAAGAAATTGAGAGTGATAACAGTCAGCACTCAGCCCTCCTCAGCCTCCCTGTGCTTCCAGCTAATGTAAAATACTCCCAAGCAAATGACAAAGTGCTTCTAATTGCTTTATTTTGGAAGTGCTGACAAAGGGCCAGGGTGGCCAATGACCCGGCCCTTGGCTGCGAGGCAGGCAGATACCTCGAGTTTTGCCTGCGTTTGAAATGAAACTGTAGCCGTGCTTTGCACTGGGGCTGCTCCGGGCACGGGCAGTGATGAGTCATGCATTCGGTTGCTTTAAAATTTACCATTAGGATACATCTGCGTTTCTTCTCATATCCCGAAGATGCAAACTGGAAGAAGTAGCTTTAAATATCTGTGTTTACTTCTCTGCTGCGAGCTTCTTGTGGACTGATGTAGCAAATATCACAACGTTCACTCGATAGTCTGTTTTACATGCAAAACAATTATATATATTAGATATATATCTAACCTTATACACTGCAGGTTAGAAACTTGCACATTCTGTTCTCTGCTAAGGAACACGMTTATAGATCACAAGCGGAGTTTTTCTTGAGGAAGAGCTAATTATTGCCAGAAGTAGCCTAATTTTCTGGTGTGCAAGCAGTTTGCAGTTTGAATTCMCAGCTCCATGTACATTGGGAGTTTGGAGGAAGGAAAACCTGGCTTAGCAGCTCCTCAGATAATTCCCTGTTTGCAAGGCAAAATACTGCACAGCAAATGCCGGGTTTTGGTCCCAGCCATTAGGGACATTCCCAGAGGAAAAGTAAAATCTGACACCCCTGTCATCAGACTCTCTTAAAAGAGAACACCCATTTTCTTGGAAAACTTGCTCAGGAAAAGTTTCGCATGTGTCTACTTTGGTGATGCTGCTGTATTTCAACATCATTCCCTGCGTGTTCTTGGAAATCATCTTTAAAACGGAACATTCTTTGCATTATTTCTCAAAGAAAGTAATTCTTACCACTCCCACAGCAAGGCTAAGCAAGCTGCAAACACAGATGCTGGATCGTTAGCTTATTTTGAGCTCAGATAGTACAATTATTATTACCTTCACTTTGATAGCGGTAAGGCATCACCAAAGTGCTTTGCCTGTCGTGCCAGCTGTACAAACAACACATAATGACCCGTGCCTGAAGCASGTGGCTAGAACAAGAACCTGCAGACTTGCTGGGCATCGACTGAGGCCCAGAATATAGACTAAGGTAGCCCAGGGTAAACCCTGTTTTTCTTTCTTACTTGACATTACTTGTCATTTAYAGCAATTTTCTTCTGTGACGGTGTGTTTTGCATTGTCTACTTCACTGTGAATTTGTTTAATTTTCCTATTTTAAAATCCAACAATATGTATTTAAAYCACAGGAACTGCAAGGCCATGAAGTGCTTACTAGTGCTGCGAGTTTATGTCAAGAATTTAGGAAAAAAATACTGTAGAGCTGCCTCAGTTATCCTAACCCACTTTTAATAAGCCATGATATTAACTAAATGCATTCTGATTCTACTACATGACAAGAATAAAACACTATCCTCCTCCTCCTCCTTTCTAGCTAAGCAATACATATTTTCAAAGCCAGTATCATTACAACGTAGCTTTTAGTCATGGTATAAAAATAAGTCTTCAAAATTAGATACAGCTTTTAGTGAAAGTTTGGTTCATCTTAGTAGCAATCAGTAAGATCATAATGAAAAAGAAACACTGTGACTGATTTAAAGTCGCCCTAAAGCCATAGTCTCATGTGATTAAAGATCTTCTAATTCATGTTCAGAAACAAGTGTTCAGTGGGCATCATCTTAGCAAAGCTTTCCTTGAGGCTATTAATTAGGGTCTTACATCTTTAACGTAATATTTAGATTAAGCTACAAAGATGACTCCTGTTCTAGACAGTATTTTTCCCTTCCATAAAGCTAGCTTAGTCAAAATGAATTAGCTGAACCAAAGTTTATTCTAAATGAAGGAGCCATAATTTCAACAGGAATTTACRATCTGTATTCTGGGAAATGGAAATTTGAGCATTCTTTATGGCCTGCATCAAACCTGACCTATCACCAGTGCTTGATGCTGACTTGGACAGCTTGTAGACTCCTGATTTGTTTGTTTGTTTTGTTTTGTTTTGTTTTGTTTTTTCCTCTCACATCCTCTAAGGATGATGTGAAAAACTTTGCTTTTTGCTGAGTCTAGTTTTGCAGCGCTTAAACTAACTGTGTATAATCATGCAATGAGTTGATACTCTTTTTTGTGAGGAGCTCAAGAAAGGCCAGCTTGGCTTGGTCTAAGGTCCACACTCACAGAACCACAGGATCACAGAATGGCTGARGTTGGAAGGGAACTCTGGAGAACATCTAGTCCAAATCYTCTGCTCAAGCAGGGTCACCTGCAGCATCTTGCTCAGGACCCTATCCAGACACCTTTGGAATATCTACATCCTACTACATGCATCCCAGGATATCGTAGGCCTTCTTTGCCGCAAGGACACATTGCTGGCTCATGGTCACCGTGTTGTCCCTCAGGACCCCCATRTTCTTCTCTGCAAAGCTGCTTTCCAGCCAGATAGCCTCCAGCTAAAATGTTAAAGGTTTTGAATCTGGCTCCTACTAGCTATGATCAGTAGCCTCTAGCTTCTGTATTTGGAGAAAAGAACAGTCAGTCTGTGCCTGCTCTCTGTGATTTTGTAGACTACCAGTTCTCCCTTCAATTAKCTCTATCTAGGCTGCAGTTTCTTAACCAACTCTGGATTGCTTTGTGGTCTTGTAATCAGTGAGATGGTTGTTATGCTGTAGAAGAACAATGTCTTGTGCTGAAATTAAGCATTTTTCTTTTCAATTCTATCAGACAGAGGAAGCTGAGAAGCATATATTTATAAAAATTCAATACTAGATATAATATCCTCGGGTGGGATCCATAACCTTACACTAGGCTGGTATCTTGTGCTGGGTCTGAAGAACTAGGTTGATAATGACCCCTCCAAGCAGGAAGGCACCTGGAGATAACCAAGAGGAAATGATGGTGTTGGAAATGGGATTGAAAAAAATTGCTGCTTTGAGAGCTTTCTGCCCACCTGGGATGTACAGGCTGGAATCACCCCCAGAGAGCAAAAATAAAAAAGGGGACAGAAAACACCCACTCTTTTTAAGGCATAACTGCCTGTATTTATAGCTTTTACCAAGCATAAGTGTCGGGGCTCTGAGTGCATCACCACGCTGTGCAAGCAGGGCTCTGGCTGCCTGTACTCAAGGCTAGCTGGTAACATGGTGCATTTGGAGCCTGGGACCGGGCTGCTGGGAAAAGAACCCTGAGAAGCTTCGCAGGGGCCTCTCACGGCGGTTCTTGCCCACAACCCAGTGTCCAGGTAGGTCTGCACCCAGCCGCGAAGCCTCGTGACCCTCTCGCACACCCTGGCTCCTCCTCGGCAGTTACTTGGCTCTCCCTGACCACGGGCCCAGTCTGCAGGCCCGTTCCCGCCGAGGGAGAGCGCCCTTGTCAGTGACAGAGCTGCTCCCGCTGGCCTGGCCCGCCCTCGCAGCAGCCTCTTCACCCGCTCGCTGGGCCCTGGCAGAGCAACAGGCGCTGCCAGAGGCAGACAACAGCCCTCAGACACYCAGACCTGCTCCCTGGCAGAGCAACAGGCGCTRCCAGAGGCAGACAACAGCCCTCAGACACCCGGCCCGCAGCGCCGTCGCTCTCCGAGCAGCGCCCAGAGCTCTCCATCCTTCCTCACCACCGTGCAACCTCATCCCCAAGCTCTTCAGCTGACACATGTGGACTACACTGACATGTAGAGTCTGTACAGCTTTGAAGCCAAATGCTTAGAGTAGCTTCTTCAACAGGGTTTAAGACATTTTATAGATATCCAAAATATTTGGCCTAAATGTGACAATCAGAGCAGAGCAGCTACCACAGCTGTGTATATGCACAACCTTTTTTTGAAACTGAGGACCTAAACTTCCAATTTCAAAAATTTGCCTTACTTCCCAGGAATACTTTCTTCTTCTTTTCTTTATTTAAGGGTAAACATTAACTCACCAGAAGAGTAAGTTTATACAACTATTTGTAGACCCTATTTCAACAAATATCATCCTTTATCTAGATGTTATTTATCTAGATGTTAGACATTAGCTTAACCAGCACGCAATGAAATTATGTTTATTTTTATACTTCTGTTTTTTCCCTCTACTTTCTCTTGTTGCCATTTAAAAGTATCTCTAGTATAGCTGCCTTCTTTTGGGGCAGTACAGCAAAACTAATGAAATGGTATATACCAAAAACATTGAAAATAAAATAAGTGGTGTCTCTCATATATTCATCTGGTAGGTGTAATGTACAGCACAAGCTACAAATGCTGTTAGCCATGTTTGTTGCAGACAATATATACGGATAATTAAATATAACTGCCAAAATGCCACTTAGGAAAACTTTGAACAGATTTTATAGTTCCCTTATATAACTCTACAGTTATTTAAGTACATGCTATAGCTACTATATAGCTACTATAGCATACTATATAGCTTTAGCCTTGTATAACTATGCACTTGACTCTCTGTAATACGACTACTGCAGCTAGTAGTCTGTTCAAACTATTCCAAAACACTATATAACATATAATTAGCTGCAAGTAATCAGGGTAAGTTATTGTTACAGAAGGGTTTGTTATTCGATACCAGTGATCCTGATCCAGAATGTTCTGAAGCTACATTTTCTTGGCTATCATGAGATAAAATAGAATTATTTGCTATATTATCATTTCCAAAAAATAAAAAATAAAAAAAGACCTTTGTTATTTCCTTTGAAATAGTTGGTCTCACCTTTGCCAACCTTCCCTATTGCCCATGATGACAATCTTTAAAAAAACTTTTCCAATTCTTTATCCTCCTCCACCTACATTCTCACAAACACTTTTTTTTCCCTAGAGGTCCCTAAAAATGTCTCCTATCAGAGAAAGGGTTTCCTCCATCCAAAATCGCTTACAGGGAATGCTCTGCAATGTTGGGGGTGGAAAAGTAAACAGTATCTGTCACCRGCACTACAAGTAGCATGCCAAAAAAAAGGGTAAATACCATATAAAGAGTTTGTGAGAGAGATGGCAGAAGTAGAAGTGTTCCTTGTCAATGCTCTAGCAAGTGTGTTTTTGCCCAGCTTAATTTACCTTTGGGCAGTTGTTTTGAGAGTTTCCTTTCATACTCACCTGCCCACCTAGAAGAACAAGCACTGTKATTATTTATCAAACTTTACTACTGGCAAATTTGTCTGACAGGAATACAAAAGGAGATGTTTCTACATTGACAATTGTTTCATCAATCATTTGCTTATATATTTCATTTTCAAATAGCTGCTTAGAATGAAGTGCATGCGYGCATAAAACTGAAGGACTGGGACATTAACACTAATATATTAGCTAAATATTTGCTGTTTTTTTCTTCTGTGGATGTGTGCAACAGTTTACTAATAACTGTACTGTGCAGAATAATTCAGCGTTCAAACTAGTGCCAGAGATGYTGATTTTAAGAATGCTTAGAAAATGACTTTTGAATGTGAGGAGATATGAAAAGGGAATATMTTTGTGCAGAGAAGGCAAATTGATAAATTCTGATTAAGGAAAAGCACAGACGTATTTCATAAGAAGTAAAGTAGAAATAAAAAGATTGCCAAGTGGAAGAGTATTTGTTATAAATAAAGCATAAATGTAGTTTAATTTTCTTTTCTCTTCTTTATTTTTCTTCACAGATCAATAACACGATCTTACTATCGCAATTCTGTGGGCGGCTTGCTGGTGTTTGACATCACGAATCGGAGATCTTTTGAGCATGTGAAAGACTGGCTGGAAGAGGCAAAAATGTATGTGCAGCCCTTTCAGATCGTGTTTCTGTTAGTAGGACATAAATGCGACTTAGTATCACAGCGGGAGGTTACCAGAGAGGAGGCTGAAAAACTGTCATCTGACTGTGGTATGAAATACATTGAAACTTCAGCAAAAGATGCCACAAACGTGGAAGAGTCCTTTACAATCCTTACCCGAGACATCTATGAACTTGTGAAAAAAGGAGAAATCACAATCCAGGATGGATGGGAAGGTGTTAAGAGCGGCTTCGTTCCAAACGTGGTGCATTCATCAGAGGAAGCTGTAAAGCCCAGAAGACAGTGCACCTGTTAAACTTGCGGCACGCCAAAGAGCACGTCAGGTGTTCCAGAAATCATGCCAATCTAATTAACATAAAAATAATTCTGAAACAATATCAGATTGTGACCTAGGGGAAGCAGAATGGCAATTTTTTTTTATCCTTCCGTCTAATTCACAACTTCATCAAAATCTAAGCTTTTTTTTTTTTTTTTTTTTTTTTTTAGAGAATACAAGAACTTTGTGTGGTCTTCAGGAAAGTAATTATATATTGCTGAAGAAAATAATCCTATAGCAAGATACTGAGAAAGCGCAATAATTATCATGACAACATCCTCCACTGGGCTTTGTATTTGAGTACAGTTTAAGTATTTGAGTACAGTTAGGTGAGGATCAGATGAGCTCATTACTTTYGTTCATCCTGCCTTAGTTTTGGACAAGAAAATACTTCACCTTCTAGTTTTTTAATGTGATTCTTTACTCAAGTGCAGTTTTGCTACTGACCACTAAGGCTTATAATGCTTTAGAATTTCATAATACAGATAACTGAAGAAAGCAAGCAGAAAGGTTGCTCCAAAACACTTTTGATATGACTATGAGTACAAGCCTTACTAAGAAAAAGAATGTTTTAGAAAAGACGATTTATTTGTATATGAAAATGTGGAATAGAAGCAATGAAATTTATTACTGAATATTTTCTGAATTGCCAATGAAACTAAGTGTAACATCACATATGGCCCAGCTGTTATTTGACTGGTATTCTAAACAGATTTCCTAAACACTAGAGATACATCCTGGAGGCCATATCCTCAGCTGGGTAACTGTCATAGCCACACTGATGCCTGAGGAATTATGTTAACTCACACAAACCAATTTCATATTAGCTTTAAAAAATAAACCTACTTCTAATTAGAAGTTAGAAAAAAAAAAGTGCTGCAATCCGTGGGGTTGAATTTAAAGAGAATAAAGATTGGTTTATTCTAAGCCAACAAATGTTAAAGCGTTTTCTAAAAATGAAGGTTTTAAGCCAAAACTGTTATGAACAGAGTGTTAGGGAAGGAGAGAATTTCTAAAATAATATTGGGCTACAGCAAAGCCAAGTTGGATAACTCCTATTCTAAGAAAGCAACATATAGTGGCTTTTAATGACAACAATAACAGGAGAAATCTGTGATCATGTAGCATTTTACTGAGCTTGAAGTCATCCTCCTACACCTCTGACTATAACACACTAGCTTTATGCAAAATATGCCCTATATGTCTAGCACTTAAATGCCAAATAACTATTTCTATTTTATCTCAGTAGTATAACAAGATGACTTGATCTCCAGAGTTGAGAAGCATCTACTATTTATCTGGACATACTCATAACCTCCAGACATCAAGCCAGTTTTCCTCATGTAAAGATATAAGGTGATGCTACAGTTCTCCATGTTCAATACCAGGCAAACAGGTCTGGCTCATCAAACTTATTTTCCTCCACAAACATGACTGGTTTTCCTTCAGATTGCTTTCAGGTCCTTTTGCCATCCCTCTGTATATAGCCCRTGCTCTAAAGACTAATTGTTTGGTTCCAGTTATTTCATTGCTTTAGGGACACTGAAATTATTGACTTCAAAGGGAACTGAAAGGTGAGGGCTTCAATGGGCACGTTTGCACTAAGGCATCGTTACACTGTCATAGGAGAGAGGCCTTAATATAAACAGGAATCCAGCCTTAATATATTACAAGTTAAAAGTCAGTTAATTCTTAATATATTACAAGTTAAAAGTCAATTAATTCTATAATTAGTTATAGCTTAATGCATCTATATTCTTTCTTTTTTTTTTCCTCCGAGGAAGGGCAAAACTTGTCACTATTGATACCAGAAAAAAAAGTAAGTCTCAGCATGCCACAAACTAATTGCTCTGAGCCTGATTCTCTACTGAACTGCACATTTTAGTCATTTACACCAATGCCATTTTGATTTGAGGGTGATTTAGGCCCTCCTGATGTAAATTACTGCAGGCACCAAAAGGTTCGGAATCAGCTTGTATGCGTTTGACACGGTGCCCTGGGCCCCAGGCCCACATTGTGTATCTCAAAAGCTTTTCTCTTAGTTGTTTAAGAGGACAGAATGGACCAATGAATAAATCAGCAGCTGGGGAGTCAACAGACCCAAAGTCTACCACTGGTTCACTGGGTGTTCCTGCAAAYGGCACTTAAGTTTTCTGTGCCTCTCTTCTGTTCTGCATCTCCAAAAGAGAGATTTTTCCTCAAATTCCCGATGACCTTTATGACTCAGTTTGATTGTATGACCTTTGGTTTGGACTCTTCTCTGTGTGTGCTGTCTGCTGTAGAGCATTTGGCACAACGGGCTGTGGGTACCGGTTTCTTCCACTGTGCAAAAAATAATTACAAAGATGGAAAGAGCTTTATAAGTACCAGGTATTGCTATTATTCTAAGTCTGCATTTCATTACACATCTTGTTATCTTCAGGTTGCAATTTTTTTAAAACTTTTATTCCTGAATACTCTGGAGCCAATAAGCTTTTCACTCTATAAGAAAAACCTGGGGGGGAGATGGGAGGGAAGGGAGTGGGAGAAGAGGGAGGGGAAGTTTGCACAGAAAAATAAACAATCATCAGAACAGAGCCTTAATGATCTCTGCTGTGAATGCTGTATTTGTAGTCTCACATTTATTACGATGGGAGTAGTGCTTTTAGCCAGATTCAGCTGTGTAAGGATCTGGTTTTGTCAATGCAAGTGGTAAAGAAATTCACTGCTTTTTTAAGTACTGTGCACATAAGATGTCTTATTTGTAATTCCTAAAGATGTAGATTACCATGTGCATTCGAACATTGTCTATCTTGATGATCTATTAAAACTATACCAAACCTTCTCACTACACACTTGCAGTTAATATAAATGTCTGATGAATAGATGGTTTGCTGAAATGTAGTGTTTTGCTTCCAGTTGTTTTGCAGTTGCATACATAAGTAATAGCTTGAGTAGGCTTTAGATTTTATAGCTTAAAGCATCTATATTCTTTTTTTTTTTCTTTCAAGGAAGGGCAAAACTTGTCACTATTGATACCAGAATACAATCTCCAGATAGAGATAGTAATCTCATTGGGAAACCAAATTAAGAAGTAGAAATATATATATATGTGTGTGTGTGTGTGTGTGTGTGTGTGTGTGTGTGTATATATATATATATATATATAACTTGCAAATTAATGATGGGTAAATCCTTGTTAGGAAAAGGCAAAACTTGTTAAAACTAGTTAAACTGTCTGCATTTGCATTCATGAACAAAGGGATATATTGTTTAGGGCTCTTAAAATGTTCCAACTGTCCTTGCATTCTTTTATGTTTGACAAAGAGGAAAACTATCTTGCTCTGCTCATTTAAATATTTTACACATTAATTCATGAGACATTTTGGCTCACATACAGTTGTGCGTGTCCTCTGCAAGGGGCTGCACGTAACTGCACACACGAGGAGCCAAGCAGAGAAGAAATCCTGCAGGAGGAGACACTCGCTCTAGTCACCTATGTTTTCWGTACAGACTTACCAGCCTAAGGGCAAGCTCTGTGAGTGGCCTGGTGGTATCTKTCCCAAGCTGGCAGGGGGCTGACGGAGCACCCAGACTCACTGCAACTGCTCTGAGCTGAGGTGGCTTCTGGCACCACTGAGTTATTACTGATCCCCAAGTCACCCAACTTGCTGAAGGTGGCTGGATCAGTAATACAGGTATTTCARTCACAGCAGTTCAGGTTCTCCATAGAGCACATCCTTCACAGATCCCTTGTTACATAATCAACATCATTTAGGAGAGTAATTTTTGCCTAGACCCGACCACAAGAGGCGTCAGATGCTCCCAAGTCTCCAGTCTTGCCCTTCGCCCGGAATGCAGCAGCTTCCTCCAGCCTGGCAGACAAGGAAGGGGCTCTGGGCATCTATCAGCACTTCCACTCATGGGCATGTGAGAGCGTGACCACCTGCCACCAACACCACGAGCTGTTTAAAAAAGTCATTAAAATACCAGGCACAATTGTCAACAGTTAGGATTTGCATTGCTTGTTTCCCAGAGTCCAAAGACAATCCTTTAAGTAAATCAATAGAATTATAGCTCTAAAGAAGACATCTGTTAAATATAATTTTCTCTTAAAAGCCTAACAGATATGACAAGACAAGCCTAACAGATAAGCATGGCAAACTAAAAGGTTATAAACATTCTAGAAAAAGAAGTTCAATCCTTTATCTAATGGTCCTTTGATACTTTGATACTTAGCCCTATGCAATAGCACTTAAGATACCTTGATGTCTTAATAAAAATAACAGTAACATTGAAGATATTAAAAACAGAAGAATTCAGCTGAACAAATCATCTGCATGATCCTTAAAGACAAAAAAAATCAAAACCACATCTCATAATTTATTTCCCAGTCTATTTCTAGTAAAAACTCAAGGCCTAGTTTTAGCTTTGTGTGAGACTTTCTCTGAATCTTGACTTGATGCATATGGTGTCTTTTTGCTCAGCAATTCTTCCTCCGCTGCGAAGCAAACCCAGCTATGGAAAAATCCAAATTTCACTTCTGAGCAAGGCAAATGTGTTTATCACGTTCCAGAGAACGTGCAAATCTGCTGAAGGCGACGTGATTGAAGAAGTGCCAAGAGAGCAGAGTATAAAGACTATGAAGTTGTACAAGTTCCTGGAGACGATTTGACTTGCATAAGACTTAATTAGTGGGAGTGCGGTGTATGCATGAAGAAAACTAGGTTGGTGCTGAAAACCCCCAAATATTTCAGTAAGCAGCATTTTGATAGGGAGCAGGMGGCTCTGTGAACACAACGAGCAGTTGTTTCCTCTTGTGTATTTTGTATTTCTCACAAGCAGCTGCTGAAATACTGCTACGAGGCAGCAAAATGAGGCTAAAATGTGTCCTGGCAAAGAAGTCGTGAGCCCAAATCCCACCCTGATAATGCACCAAAAAAGTGGATGACACCCATGGCAGGTTTTCACCCCGAGGGCAAGCAAACAGCATGGAGCAGCTGAAGGGCCTCTCCTCCCCACAGCAGCCTGAAAAAGGCAGTTTCAAATAGTGGTGGTTGTTGTTAAGCATTAGGACACTAAGAGTGAGGAGAGGAATTGTGGAAAATATTTTAGTCATAATTTTAGTTTAAAAAAAAAAAACCCGCAGGGCTGGCACTGCTCTGCTGTACTTGAGAACTGTGGGTTTTGCTTACAGTTTTCAATGTCAAGCAAAGAGTTTTAAATATTTAGTCATATTTTATATTAATTTGCTATKTTAAAATAATTAGTGCTTATTATGAAGGGGAAGAAGACATCCTCCGTGCAGAGCACTTTACTCATTTCCCTGGTGCCCAGCCAAGGCTCCATACAATAAAGCCAGGGCATGGCTTGCTGCTAAATTTGAGAGAGGCGAGCTCCAATTCCAGCCAGTCAAACCACTGAAATTCACGCTAACATAGTTCGTTTTATTGAGATTTTTTTCTCAGTCAAGCACTCTGTGGCAAAAGGGAGTCTGCTTCTCCATGAACTTTTAAAATAAGTACCATACAAGGCTGCCTGAGCCTGAAAAAGAGTTGTGAACGTGTCAGAAAACAGCATATGAAATTWTAATTTTTAATGTTATATCCTCTTTCACCCACCATGTTGCACAGACACATGATGATATAATCCCCTGAGTACACAGAACGAATGGAATAGTGTGTTTTCAGCCATCCAAAACAGTCTAGGAGAGGGAAAATTAGCTGAGATTTAACTCCCTGCCACAGTTCTCTGCAGCCCCGTGGCTGGGCACCAAACAAGAGCCACATTTCGTCCCACAAACACATGCTCCTGAGCA